CTTGAGTCTTACTTTGGAATAATAATAATGATAATAATCAAAACAACAACAATAATAATAATGAACAACTAGATACCAGAGACATTTTGTGGGGGTGGAGAGGGGACTGGGATCAAAAACAGTGGGTGGGGGGGAATGCAGAAGTGGCTTTAGATTCTCAGTGCTGTGCTTTAACACGCTGTGCCACCAGGGAGGGCCCTTCATTTTCTTTTTTTTAAAAAACATATCCTGTATTGCTTTCATTCTGAGCATGTAGGATACCATGCATTAAGTATAACAGACATTTTAACTTAAGAGGACGCCAACTTACTCAACTAGAAGTGACCGAGACATACCAAACAATGTATTTATTGCCATGAACCTTATTTCACAGAGCATAACTCATCAATCACTCCACTATGTTGTATACAGTTATCCATGTAGATACACACCTATATCTCTATTTATGTGTAAAGATATATGCTTGTGTTTGCTCATACTTACGGGTTTCTGTTGCAAGAGTTAACTCCTACTTATTCATTTTATAGAAAATAATTTTTGGGGGCAGTACAATATAGTCATCTTCAAGTTGGATATATATAAATGCATAATATTTTGTAAGTGTTGGAATTCTTAGGGGAAGTTTAGCAGATCAGCATCTAGTTGGTGAAACAATTATGTGGGTAGGTACTGACACTTCTTGACCAGACTGAGGGTCCATCCACATTACTGTTAATTGCTGACTTGGCCCCTAGAAAAAGAGAGATTAAGCTCTCTCAATTTTGTTTTCCTTATGTACAAAGCAAGGAAACTATATAATTCGCAGGATAGCTACAAAGGTTAACTTCAGCAAGGCAGGTAAAGCTCTAATAGATAACTTGGAATATAAATGTCCACAGATAGTAGCGTTTATCAATTACATATTTAACAGATACAGAATTTATTACAGTAGCAATAAATTAATACATATTTTCATTCCTCCACATATATAATTATATTAGAATACATTTAGAAAGATGTTACCTGTGTTTTCATGAATAAATTTCATTTACCTTTAAAAAATCTATAATTGTTTCTTTTTTTCTAGTGTTTGTACAATCATTTATCTACGTATATTGTTTCTATACCAAGACTCATAGAGGGAGAAATTATATTTCATAATTAGATAGTAAAAGTGTAAAGTATAGAGATATTTTAATTTCTTTACTCTGTCCTTTTTTATCCCCTTCCCTTTATTTATTTTTTAATTTTTCTCCTACTCTTTATTTTTAAAGTAATAAAGTTACTTTAAATTGATGTACTTTCCTACTTACACTTATAATCTTGGCTCTTTAAAGACAGTTGAAATTTTAACATTGTGATTATAGTCTTTGGTGTTTTTATATGTTACATTGACATTTTAAGTATTGTCCTATAATATTTACTTAAGATTCTAAAATGATACCAGCATTTCTTCCTTAAAATTAAAATTAATGTTTGAAATTGTTCAGTTGCTCCTGTAGCTTGTGTGTGTCTATGGCTGTCATTAGTCTCTAATAACATGACCCCTTTTCTTCCCCCCAGGAGAATGGTGTATATACAATAGCAAAATTAATTTTACCAAACAAGCAAAAGAATGCAGCAAAAACAAACCTATTACAGGTAATGAACCTGCCCATTGTTCAGTATTAACTTACTGAAATACAGGGAAACCTTGATCACAGAGCCTGTACTTTCTAGAATTTTTAGGTTACATGGTTAGGCCATGTAAAAGGCCTAACCATGGTTTGTCTGCAGGGGAAAACTAGGTAATCTTATTTACATATCTGTTTGCCTGTCAGTAAGTTCTACCTTTTTTGTTTTCTCCCCGAAACAAATCATGTTTATGTATCAGATACTAATCAGAGACGAAAATTAAATGCCACCGTGAAGCACAGACCACAGTGGCTGGCATTTCACCTTTACAAGAGGAAAGCCTGGAAAATGGATCTTGATGAATGAGAAGGGACTTGCCAGGGGCTAAAGGGAGATAAGGGGACACTAGTGGCATGGCGGAAGGGCATTCTCCACAGAGGGAACACCCCAGGCAGAAGGTGGACCTGACCACTTACCATGCACAGGCTGCGGAGGGGGGCTGGGCTATGAGGCGGCAGGAGGGAGCATTTCAGGAGCTGAGGCCGCAAAGGTAGGAAGGAGGCCTTTGAATCAGGGTCCTCTGTGCTTTTCTGAGGAGTGGGCATCAGGGGCCCCGCGTCCCCTAAGACAGGGCAATGAGAGAAGCAGATTTTTTTTTTAAAGACTTATTTATGTATGCATACAGAACTGGGGTACAGGCCAGAGGTGCAGGGCGGTGAGAGGGTTCACCAGAGACAGAGTGGGGAGCAGAACAGGCAGATCCACTGAAGTACACTGCTGAGGGGAGCAGCGGGCGGGTCAGGAGAGTTCTACCACGCCATGTGGGTCACCCTGGGGCAGGGATCGAACTCGCACTGAAGCAGCTTCGGCTCGCCTGCAGTGCTGCTCTTTAACCCCTTGCACCACCAGGGAGGGCCCGAGAGAAGCAGATTTAAAGCAAGTCACAGTGGTCTGGGGGCTGCCCCCTCCCACCCTGGAACGGTGGTCAGATGGGCAGGGGAGTTTCTGGTGGTGCCTGTGGGCTGGATAGGCGGAGGTTTTGGGGAATGACAAATGAGATCATAGAGGTGTAGCGCCTGACTTCTTCAGTGTGCCCCCCCCGAGTCTGACACTGTTCTGGGAAACAGCTAAAGTCAAATCCATCATGCAAGCTATGGCTTGTGAAGTCAGCAGAGGGTTCTTAAGAACTCAAATAAAAATTGTTTCGAAGAAATACGCCAGTTCTCTACTTTCTCAGTCTCCACTTTCTCTCATCAGGCTCCTTCCTGCCATTTTGCTATCAGCCTGGCTTCCCTGGGCAATTTTGCTTGTGACCCTCCTCTACCCAGATCACTCATTTTACAACATGATTTCAGTTTCGCATTCTGCAGACTCCCTCACCCCCAGGGTGGCCGAGGGCCTGGGGGCAGCGGCCAGCTGAGGGCTCTCTTTTTTTCCTCGGGGCTGCAAAATGTCAGATGTTTATTTTCCCGAGTTTAAAGTCTCCCAGGCCTCTTTGAGAGTGTGCTGGGGAGTTACTGTAGATTGTTCTATTTGGGGAATCAGGTTCTTTACTCAAGAGACCAATTTGTCAAGTTTGAGTCCAGTGTGCCTGTGGCTATTTTTATATGTCATCATTTCTAGTGTTTATTTTCTCACAGAAGCCACATAAATATTGAAGCACAGCAAAGCCGGGGAGAAACAAAATAAACCGTGAGGCTCCTGGAAATCTTTGGACATTTGGTTTTCTCGGCACAGGCATTTTATTTCTTGTCTGTGCGCTTTTTGTACTTTCTAGAAAGGCATTCTTGACAAGCACTGATGGAAACCGGGCCAAGATTGCTAGCAGGGCTACAGCATAAGTACTTTTAAAATATGACAGCGCAGGTGGGATGACTTTGTTTTCACCACGAGTTTTGACTCTCATGTAGGCTGGCCGTTCCTAGGAAGCCTCTTTGGTGTTTACTACTTGATCATTTTGTCCTGAAATGTTTTCCTTTGCCAAGCTGCCACTTGCGAGTCACCTGTCCCATTATTTCCTAGTGTTACGCTTTCAGAGCCTTGAGGTTCCTCTTCAGTATGGAAAGAAACAGACCGCTCTTTAAAAGGTAGGCACTTGGAAGAACTGAGGCGCCCAGGGCCCGTTTCCCCGAAATGTTCTCACACGTGTGATTAGATGCAACCATGAGGTGACTGACTCAGCACGTGAACGGCTGTGTCTTAGGATTCTCAGAATCCACCGAGAGAGCTGAGCGGCCCTCTTGACACTTGAACTGAGAATGAACTGGAGCTGAGAATGAATTGATGATAAAGAGTTTCTCCAGCAGCACAAACCCTCTTACGCTATGCAACTGCTGTCTGGATGGAGTTCTAGGGTCAGGAGGCTGTGCTGGTGAACAGGATACAGACAGAAATCACCCCCTTGGAGAGCAGACGCTAGACCCCTGTGTGTGTGGTCAGCGTGCCCAAGAATTGGACAGGTCAGGCTGTTACATGGCCCAGGTTCTACCTGGGATTTTATTAAGTAGGCACCATAGGACATAAAGCCTTGCATTACAATAACATCTTTTGTCCAGAGGCATGGAACTTGCTCTTTTATTACTTTATTTCCATACCATGCTTGAATATTGGGGGAGATAAGAAAGTGCAATTAGCCTTTTCATTTCAAGGCCCCAAAACCATTCACTTCAGTGGACTTCCAGATCTTCATAAACCCATTGTAGGATGCCTACATTGTTCCATTTTCCTCCCATTTGCTGGTATTTTTATAAAACATTTAAACATGAGGTTAATATTCACCTACTAGGGTTCATCTGAGAACTGAGTCACATGGCACTTACAGAATCACTCTGCACTCAATCAAAACCCAAGCACCCCTTGCTAATACCCTAATACCTCGGTCTCCAGTATCTCACAAATAAGGTCTTTGTTTAATCGTGTCACATCTTTTCGTGTGTGTGTGGTAAAATAACGTAACATGAGGTCCCCCAATGGGGGTGCACAAAACAGCCTTATTTACTGTGAGTACACAGCTCCTGTCATTTGTTTTCCCTCACCCCTTATGAACTGGAGCTGTGGTTTATTTTTGTGAGATTAAGTTGGCGAGCACTATTAAAAATTTCCCCCATGTAGTTGACAACCCTAGAAAGTGAAGTATGTTCACTATAATCAACCTGTGAGTGAATGAGATCCCTATGTATGTGGGGGCGGATGCCCGGCAACACCTCAAGTTCCACATGAAGTGTACCTGTGTGTTTTTCCTTGCAGGCTGTTCCCCACTGACTTATTTGAGATCTTCATTGATATAGGACATTATGTTCGTGATATCGGTGCTTACCAAGAATTGGTCTCAAAGTTGAATTTATTAGTGGTAAGTCTTGAGTTTCAAATATTTTTGCAGCAGACTGGTATTTGGTCAGGATGGAATGAATCACAGAAAACCATTTCCTTATTAATTTTTTGGTTAGGAGGATGAACTGAAGGAAATTGCTGAAAACATTGAAAGCATTAATCAGAATAAAGCTCCTTCAAAATATATCGGCAACTATGCAATTTTGGATCATCTTGGAAGTGGAGCGTTTGGCTGTGTTTACAAGGTGACCTTGCCCTTGGGGAGCAACGTGTCTGATGTTCCCCAACAAACCAGATGGCCCACCCAGACACTCACACACAGTTGAATGGGAGCCCCCATCACTGAAAACAGTGAGCAAATAGAATAAAAAGAATGACTGCTTTTGTCTAACAAACAGTTGCACTGACATTGTCCTGTCTCAGTTCTCACCTTTGGAAAATTAGATACTGACCTTTAAAGATAAAAGTCATCACTAAGCTCACAAAAAATAGCCCAAATAGTTTTTCTTCATGCATGAAACTGTGTGTGTGGAAGAACTGGGATGGAAGAACTGGGGTGTGTGTGTGTATAAAAGAATTGGGGTACAGACCAGAGGTGCAGGGGTGAGAAGATTCATCAGGGACAGAGAGGGGAGCAAAGCAGATCTTCTGAGACACACTGCTGAGGGGAGCAGCGGGCGAGACCTATGTGTGTTAGCTCCCTGACTGGGGATTAAACTCAGGCTGCAGCCATGATGGCGCTGAGACTTAACCCCTAGGCCACCAGGAAGGCACCCATTCATGACACATCCTTTACATTCATACCAGTGTTTCTACATTTACCCAATAATATGCAACTGAATACTGCAGACTGGTGCAGGCTCAGTGTAAATACAGATAGATTTTTTTTTTAAAGATTTATTTATTTATGCATACAGAACTGGGGTACAGGCCAGAGGCTCGGCTCGGGGTGGTGAGAGGCTTCACCAGAGACAGAGTGGGGAGCAGAACAGGCAGATCTACGAAGTACACTGCTGAGGGGAGCAGCGGGTGGGTCAGGAGAGGTCTGCCACACCATGCGGTCACCTCCGGGGCAGGCGGGAATCGAACTCATGCGGAAGTGGCTTTAGATTCTCAGTGCAGTGCTTTAACCCGCTGCGCCACCAGGGAGGGCCACAGATAGATTTTTAACTGTACTTTGTTTAGATGAGTTGGTTTAATCATCTGACTTTCTTAATTGATATCTCTCCTTTCCACCCCACCCTGACTTTTTAAATTTTGTCTTCCTTATTATAGGTTAGGAAGCGTAGTGGTCAAAATCTCTTAGCAATGAAAGAGGTCAACTTACACAACCCAGCATTTGGAAAGGATAAAAAAGACCGAGACAGCAGTGTGAAGAATATCGTTTCGGAATTAACCATAATTAAAGAGCAGGTAAATGTTCTTCTTGTAAAAGTTGTTACTTAAATAAGTGTCATTAAAAGTAAGTAGATTTCTTGTGTCATTCTTGTGTATCCTGTTTAAAAATGTTCTGTTTAAAGTAGTTGGCGTTGAGATGGTGGCATTTCAGCCAGCTTTTCCCCTAAGGCTTGATGTTGAACCATAGAAGCACTTTTTGGAGGTTCCGGGGGGTACTTTGTGGTTGAGCATATGGACAGAGAGAGTGAGCTACAAAATCATCCTTCTTTTATTGTGAGCGCATCCATTTCCTTCTCATTATGTTGTAGAATACTTGGTTTCTTAGTTACATGCATAAAAAGATGAAGAAGAGTTCCCTGACTTTTGTCAAGTGGAACCAAGCTGTGAACATTCCTCAAATATGGCTTATTAAGTCTGAAATGCGCATTTTCATGATGGGTTATTGGCATCAGCTGAATATTCTGACATAATGTAACAACTCAATTAACTATCATTATGAAGGTTTGTTTGGGGAAAAAGAATAAATATGTCAGGAGAGGAAATGGAATTTGTTTTTGTGATCCAAGAACACATTGGTTTCTTTTTCAGCTTCCCTCATGTGTGCATTCATCACCAGCACTGTTCATTTATAACTCCTGTGGAGAGCTATGGGCTTCACATCTCTGTTCTCCATTAGTTAAACTTGTATAACATCTGTGCTGGGACATAACAATTACCATAGATGTGATGATCTTTAGTCAGTGAAATCTTTGATTCTAACTCCAACTCCTAGATTATAGTACATATTATCATTAACAGATTTTTTTCATAGTTAATTTTTATGTCCTCACAGACTAGACCTATGAAGTTAGTGCTTGCTTGTATTTAAGCAAATCTAGCTTCAGCAATGCTGTTTCATTATAGCAACAGGTTAGAACATGGCTTTGTGTCTTAAGCTGATCCAGGATTTACACTGGAACTCAAATCTGGACTATCCCTGTCAGTGAGTTAGGCCCAGAAGACAGTTCTGGCTGCTTACTGCATCTCATGTGATTTAAAATCTCCTGGTCACTTACTAGTTGGTGAGGTGTACTGCTTGTGTTTTTCCTCAGAGAAGTGTGTGTCAGGGTGGGCTATCCCAAAGGCATCTGTTTAAATGTTGAGATCTCAAAACTCTACCAGTGCATTTCTGCTAGAGGACTGAGCCAATCAGTGGAAAGAATAACCACACAGAGGCCTACAATGAGGAAGTAATGGCAGACAGGCAACCAGATGGGAGATCTATTTGCAAAGGTTAAGACTGAGCTGTAATAGCAAAGGAGTTCCAACCTACACAGACCTAAACACAATGAGAGGCCTCACAGAGTGGGTGGGCCGTGCCATGTAAGTCTCTGTGGGAGCAGACCTGGTTGGCCATGCTGTCTGTTCAAGGTGGTTGCTCAGGGGTCAGTTCTTCCTCTGTGACTGCCCTGCCGCTCCCAAGGTGTTGTCTTCATTTGCTAAGAGGGACTAGCCTCAGGCATATCATAGCCAGATGGGATGAGGATCAGTATGCAGGGACAAGCTCAGTGCTCCTCATTCACACACAGGAGTACAAGTTTCTCCTGGTGCCCGGTGATGGAAACTGAAGAATGGCCCTTTTGTGGTGGCAAAAGAGGCTGACAGACAAGCTCTGACCGGGAAGCCTTGCCTGACAACACCATTGTGCTAGGGAGTGGGAGAGCTGGGTTTGGGGGCAGCTGGAAGACTTCCCTTCAACAAGACAAGAGGAAAGGCCGGAAAGAGAAGCAGGTAGATGTAATGGTTTATATTTTGAGATGGAATAAATTTCACTTGATTTAGAAACTCCAGGTATCAACAACTATAACAATTTTACTCCTCTTGTAGAAAAATGACTCCTTTTTCAAAAAGTAGGAGACCCATGTTCCATCCTGAGGTGAATTTATGTCAAAGGGAATATGTACTGGACTTTTCTTAAATAGAGATAATAACATTGCATTAGTTTCAGGTGTGTAACATAATGATTTGCTATTTTTATTGCTAAATGATCACCACCACAAATCTATTAACATAACCTGGCTGAGCAGTGTTCTTGCTAAGACAAGGCCGGCTGGGGATGGGCCCTGAGAGGAGTTGGTTAGGGAGGGAGTCCTCAACTACTATTATAATTGAAATGAAGTTAATGACTCACAGGCTGTTTCACACTCATAGTTTTGGAGAGCACAGAAAGACACAAGTAGTGGAAATAGACACAGCAGTGGATGTAAATATGAAATCGGAAAGGAGGATAAAAGAGCCATGAACAGAATGTATCCAACATAAGTCACTTCGTTTCCATTTTCTCACCAGCAGGAATCTGTGTCTGGTGGTGGGGCTGGAGTGCTAAAAGAAATCTTGTTTCCTTCTAGTTCTGTATTTCTGTTTTACTTAAGTTAGGTGACTAAGCAGAATCATTGTTAAATTTGATGTTTGTTGCAGTTTGATGAGGCTATAGAGAAGGTCCCTATTTTCAGATTAGTTTTGTAAGTAGCAAGTAAGAATCACAATAAAGCTCAGGTAATATCTGAAGTTTTTTAAAAAAATATATAAATGCAATAATATTTGTCATTTTCAAATATAAAGTTTAACTACAGTATCTGGGAAGACAAGTTTGGATGTTGAAGTGTGTTCATGATTTTGTCTCTTATTCTCTTATAGCTTTATCACCCCAATGTTGTACGCTATTACAAAACATTTCTAGAAAGTAAGTATGAGTTTTCTTGATATCTCTAATTAAGGAAAAGTCTTTGTTACATGCTTTCAGATCAAAAATGCCACAAGATAAACTTAGTGACTTTCTTGCTTGTATGACAGTGGATGAGCTTGTCCAGCACTTTCTCGGTGAGTGAAGCAGTGATATAGTCAGTGACCTGAAGGTATTTATAACATAACTGTAAAATAGCTATTAAATAACCCTGCCTAAAGGAAAGGCACTGAACATACCAATATAGTTATTATAGTTATTTTCATACATAATAAAAACCTTTGTAGGAGCAAGAGAGAAGAAAGTTAAAGGATAGATACTTTATAAGAGAAAAAAATAAATAAAAGCTTGTTTCTGTTGAATCTGATGACATTTTCAACCAGAACAAATTGGGAGATTTCTTTCATTTGGAAAATTGTTTCTTCTACTTGAAGTTCAGCTAAGTGCCACAAGGTGGCGATGGAGTCCTGGCCCATTCTGTGGCAACCGCAGGCCGGCTCTGTGCCAGGATGAAGGAGCAGGAGGAAATGAAAACACGGAGATGAAGTCCAACCAGGCCACTTGTGAAAAACAATATAGGAACATGGACTGAAAAAACACTATTATTGATAAGCCTTAGTACTTTGAGTCACACCTGAAGTTTCAAAACCCGATTTGAAGGAAGACTTGAAGAAATGCAAGGCAATTAATTGGGGTTGCCTCACTGCCTGGTTGTTGGTGCTGTTATGCAAACATTCTGTACACATTGGCATGTTCTAATCTTACCCACCTGCCTTCATCTAGATGACTCAGAGGAACTCGCTGCCCAATCTCTCCAGTAAATCCTGCCCCTTGGCCATTTGTTATTGATACAAGAATCATTTCCTAGGACTTGGAGTGTATCCCTTCAGACATCAAGGCTGGCTTCTGACTGGTACTGAAGTGGTGCAACTTGTCTTAAATTTTTCAAAAAAAGACAACTTTTTTACAACCCAACATCTCCCACCCAAAATGACAGTACTTAAAAATACATAAAGTATGGTAACAATAGATGATTAGGAAAGTGTATAAGAAGGCAAGAAAATAAAAACTGAAGTGATGAATACATTTTGGTACCTAAAATAAAATAATAATAATTCCTGGGATTATAAAAAATTGGAAACAATATGTTTCCAATTTTTAGGAGAATAGAATGATTAAATACATTATGATCAGCTACTGTGGAATATTACACAGCCCATTAAAAGAATGTGTGGCTCTCAGTGTACTGACATATAAAGTGATTGAATGAACAAGTATAAACTGCACACCATGCATACATAGTATTTCATTTTTGTGAATGTTGTGTGCATCTTTCATATACATCCAAAACATCACAAAAGAAAAGGACCACATACCATATTGACATACCAATACCATGATTAGTTTCATATTGATTTTGGTGGAGAAAGTGGCATTTACTTCTATTTTTCTCAGCATCCAAAGCAGAGACACAAACACAATCAGTTGTGAGCTTCCCCATATCCATAACATAAAATGAGGAGACGCCCAGCTTTCTCTGTTCTTGAGGGGGCATCACAGAAATTGCTATCAGGGGTAGTGTTTCCAACTGTCATTTCAAGACCAGGGCATGATACCACTGTCAAATTCTGTGAGGTAAATCACCAAGGTTATAAAACAATATGATTTGACACAGTTGTCTGAATACATGATTTGCTTTAAGAGTATATGTGAGACTATTAAGAGGAAAGGTGAGTTTGTATGTTCTTCAGCAAATCCTGCCAGATTTGGAATAATTTGCTGCTTCTCTTTGGTGCCCCCAACCATATCTCATCCTCGCGGACATAGAGAAGGGCAATATTTGCCCTTATGCTAGGAGGCTGCCTGCAGCTGAAGGGATTGTTGCTGATCTCCCATTGCCAGAAATATCCCTCACCTCCATCTCCTCTAAGGCTGAGAGGATTCATATCTCAGCATGTCTTGTCTTGCACACACAGCACACTTGGATAAAAGTATGTTTTAATTTTTTAAAAAGGTATTAGTAAATGGAATCTATTTTTAAAAAAGATTTATTTGTTTATGCGTACAGAATTAGGGTACAGGCCAGAGGTGCAGGGGTGGTTTGAGGATTCACCAGAGACAGAGTGGAGAGCAGGACAGATTGACAAAGTGCACTGCTGAGGGGAGCAGCGGGCCGCTCAGGAGAGGTCTGCCAGCCATGAGGTCTCCCTGACTGGGGATCGAACTCATACTGCAGTGGCTTTGGAGAGCTTCATAATGCGGTGCTTTAACCTGTTGTGCCACCAGGGAGAGCCCAGTATATTTTAATTTTAATGAAGTAATATTACATCATAGCATTTTAGGTTTCATGTGTGCATCATTATAAATCAATTTGTTTCACCATGGAAAGTCCAGTTTTAACTTTCACCATAAAACTGACTGCTCTTAGCCACCCTCTCCCCTTCCCTCTGGTTAGCACTAATATTGTTTTATTATCTTAAAGTTTATTTTTGTTTCACTTAATTCATTTGCTTGGCAGCTTGAATTCCAACTCAAACTTTTTTCACAATATCCTTATCAATTGTAAATCACTTTCTTGTTTCATTTTTATGTAGATGATCGATTGTATATAGTTATGGAACTTATAGAAGGGGCCCCTCTTGGAGAGCATTTCAGTTCTTTGAAGGAAAAACAGAATCATTTTACTGAAGAGAGATTATGGAAAATATTTATACAGGTACACTTTTATCTTCATTCCATTTGGTTCTATAAAACATCAAAGTTGTGAGCTGATTTCTTAGCGGGGTGGGTGGTCGCCACCAGCGACCGATTTCAGTGGAAGTAAAAATCTGTGTTCTTTTTTTTGCTGTTTCAAGCTGTGCTTGGCTCTCCGGTACTTACACAAGGAGAAGAGGATTGTCCACAGAGATCTGACACCAAACAACGTCATGTTGGGGGACAAGGACAAAGTGACCGTCAGTAAGTATGACTCCCTGGCCAGTAGGACCGTCTGCAGCGTGGGCATGCGCTACATCGGTGCTGTCCCACTCAGCTGGTGTGAGGGAGGAGACTGTGGGTTGCATTTTAGTTCATTGAACCCTCCCCCATGTGACTCTGTGTTGGACAGTGGTGACTGCAAACTAATGATTGAATTGCATGTGAGAAGAAAGTATTCCTCACATGCTAGAAGATTTACTTCCCAAATTAATGATGTCTAGTTTTTGAGGGCTGGCTCATGAGCACATTACATGGCTTTGAACCATTTTGATATAGTCTCTGCCAGATGCATGTTGCCTGCACAGATCAAGGATAGAGCTGAATCTGGCCATTTGCTCAACATACGGTTTTTAGCAAGTATTTTCATCTGTAGCAGGTAGACCTGACATTAAATCTTTGCAACAAAAAGAAGCATGCCTTTGGAGATCCCCCCCCCCACCGCCCCCCCAATTCAATATGTAAGCTTTCTTCAGAGGCTGCACCTCGGTGTCTCACTGGGACCATGCCCATCTGTCTGCTGTCATTCCCGGAGTTGGGGGCAGGGAGCCATGTTCAACTTATGCAATTTTTAAAAAAGATTTATTTATTTATGCATACAGAATTGGGGTACGGGCCAGAGGAGCGGGGGCCATGAGAAGACTCACCAGAGACAGAGTGGGGAGCAAAACAGGCTGACCAAGGAAGTACACTGCTGAGGGGAGCAGCGGGTGGGTCAGGAGAGGTCTCCCGTGCCATATGGGTCACGTCCAGGGTGGGGATCGAACTCATGCTGAAGTGGCGTTAGCTTTTTTGTGCTGTGTTTTAACGCGCGACACCACCAGAGAGGGCCCCAGCTTGTGCAATTTTAACAAATTACACAGTTTCAGCCTCCTCATGCTTCATCCAGCCTCATTGTGTTTTGGTTTCTTGCTGGTTCCATTATTACTGTGGTTATTTTAATTTCTAAACCCTCTTTTCTGCTGCTGGCAGAGGGTACTCAGTTTACTGGTGGTGCCACATTTGGATGTGGGAGGGGCTGTGGGAACTTGACCTCAAACCTATGTCTTGAGCGTCTCTTTTTCCCCTTCTTCAGGCCTCAGCTCCATTTCTGCGTCCCTCTTCTCAGACACGTCATAGGCTCAGATTGCTGAGCCTACAGCTGTTCTGCTCTCCCACTTCCAGAAAGTCCCTGGAAGATCCCATCCCTGCCATTGCCCCGCCCATTCTCATTGCCCTTGGGTATTAATAACTTCTCCAAGAATATTCCTTTCCCTTCATTTCATGAGATTTGAGAACTCTAAGAGGTAAATACTCATGGCCAAGCTTTTACCTAAAATGGGCAGGTGGTCCATTAAACTTTAACAAAATATCCCACTTTATTATTGAGATTCTGACTAATCAAAACATCTGTTTTTTGACTTGTGCTCAAATTGTAGAGGTCTCCCTAAAAAAAGTTACTCTGTTTAATACAAAGAAGGAATCTTTTGTTTTTTTCTCTGACCCTTGTTCTTAATCTGCCCAGTTTTGTTCTTATAATATTGGTCAGACTTATTGTTAGGAATTATTAAATTGAAAACTATTTCCAGTTCTCAAGACTTACACTGAAAGTGAAGTGACAACTAAAGAATGAATGATAAAGCTAAGAACAGAATCTCATCCTCACTCAGTTTCTCTCCATTGACAATTTGGTAGACAGGATGTTGACATGCTACCATTACTTTAAATAAGTATAAAACAATCTTATGACTAAAAGATGGCCCACAGATATTTGCTAACACCCTCTATTTAAAAAATATTATAAATTTAATAGTGATGAAATTTGTTTTGCAAGATCATTATTCATATAAATATGGACAGTAGAGACTTGTCTTTTTAAGAGGGATAATGGTTTAATCCAAATATGATCACATTCATTTGAAGGCAGCTGTGTAAGAGTCCCATATTTGGGGAGCTTGCAATAGAATTGCAGTTCTTAGAACTGATAAAAGTATGGTGTGTGTGAGAGTGTGTATGTGTGTGTGCAACCGTGTCACCACACAGGGGCAGTCTCGTCATATTCAATTTTTCTCTTCTCTGGGGCAAAGATGGCTTACCCTCCCAACCCTCTCTGAAATTGCAAAATTTCAGAATTGCAAAGTGGCATTTACATGCATAGCCCAGTATATTGAAAGTGTGACCTGGTAGAAAAGCTTAAAAAAATCAAAACGGTAGCCCCTCCTTATTTTTCTCAGTATTGGTGAACTAGTGACTTTAAAATGGGGGTGGCTGTGCAGCTGTGTAGAGGAAGTGTGCTGGCGGAGGCCACATTGGCGAGGCAGCGGGGTACTGATGTCGTGAGAGATGTGTGGGTTTACGGAAGGGATCCTGTTCAATGCCCAATTGTATATCCAGTTAAAAGTCTGTATTTTTAGTGACTTGTACAGTGAAAGACATTTAGATCTTGTCTATGTATTTGGGGGCAACCGGATGTGCTGGAACCCAGGCACAGCTGGCTCTAGGTTGCCACCTCCCGTAGGAACTGCCCTGTACCGTCCCCCCACTCACCATGTCA